GCCAAACAACAGGCAAACAGCTTCCTTCGACAGGAAACATTTTTATGGCCACAATCTGTATGCATTTACTTCGCACAAAAAAAGCGGAAATCTTTTTTGCTGCACCAAATGACAATGGAACTCAGGGTTGAGGGTGAAGTAAATATGATATTCGTGCATGGATGATGATGAATCATGGTGGGGATATTATTATGTATTACCAATATGAACACACTGCATGTTTAATGATATATTTTATGAGGTAACATTTGCCAATCTATTGGATAACTGAAGATGTTGCAAGGTAGCTGTGTTTGCTGCATTTCCAAATCAAATTACGCATCTAAATATTGTAACACTTGGTTACATTTTTTGAGTTTTTAGAATATTTCTTTGGTTATTTTTGGAATTTAAAACTTAAAATTCAGCTTCCATTGGTTGTAAATGTGTGTTTTAATTGGAAACTATTTATGAAGTAGGAATTCTCTGTTTATCAATTAAACAATCTTTTAAGTATTCCAATTAATAGTTCCCCCCTAAAGTTATTTCAACTATTTAAATTCCTAAATCCACACCCTAGCCTAACTCCCACGCCCCTCTTTCGCTTGCTCCGCCTCTGGGGTTTCCGCAGAATTCGCGTGTTTCCAAGCCCAACCCGCACTCACCCAAACATTAATGTTATACGGAAAATGTTATACAAGAGCTTTTTTGTCATGTTACAGACTTCCGTGGATGGCGCTCGCTCTCTCTCTCTCTCTCTCTCTCGTTTCCTATCACTCACTCGCTCTCTCTCTTCCTACTTTCTCTCTCTCTTTCTGTGTTTGAGAGAAGCTTTCTGCCTTTTGTTTTTGTTTGGGAAAAGCGTTCGCGGCGAAATGTTCATGTTTTGATAAGAGGAAAAGCGGCGCCACCCCCTCGACCGAGCGTGTGCCAAGCGGGGAGCAATTTTCAAGCAACAAAAGAAGAGGAATGAACTGCTTGCTACCTTCAAGCTCTCCGTGTCTATCTTTATCTCTCTCCAGAGAGAACCCCCCCACAGATTGATAATAGTTTCTGAATAGTTTGAGCGCACATGGAACCTTCAGCGGTACGGGGATGGGGTCGTCGAGGGAGCAAACCGAGAGAATCGCATTGAGAATCAACGTATAGAGAGGCGTGTCTCCGCATGCGATTGACGTTCGTCTAATCAGCATCTAAAAACGGGCAAAAATCAAATTAAAATACGCCAAAATCGGTTTATTTTATGCTTTTGATTCTGCTGCTGCTGCTGCTCAGTGCCTCTGTTTGTGCCTCAATTTGAATTTTTAATTTGAATTTAAATTTTGAGTTTTGCTGCCAATGCAGCCAAGAATTTTTATATATGATTTTTATTTTTAATGTGCTGTTTGTTGCCCGAGGCACCGCTGTTGCTGTTGCTGTTGCCCGTACGTGAGTACAGCCGCAAATTGTCCGAACGGGGAACGCGCGCATGTGCCACAAAACAGGAAAAACAAACCAGAAAAAAAACACACTCATAAAACCGAAAACCAAAAACCGAAAAACAACCGAAAAATTGGAAATTGGAGAAACAGAAGGGAAAATATGTGCGAGTATGTCCCGCGTCCGTGTGGCGGATATTATGACATTCAATACGCGGCAAAATGGGGGAAATGGGTCGAACACATCTCGGACTCGCCGACTGACCCACATATTTCATGTTTCCTCTTGTATTGCCCACCCCCGGCACTGATTGACAAGGTGAGAGAAGCGCGTGTAGCTGTCCCCCTGCGGCGTATCCGTGAGGCTACAGTTCGTTCTGAAATTCATTGCAATCGCGCGGGAGATGTTCGCGGGGTGCTGGTGCTTTGTGCTCCTCTTATTTTTGTTTGCTTGATTGATTGCGGCCCGGCGTCGTCAAGGTCACTCCGTGGGACAGCACAAAAGATATGCAAATGGGAGGCCAGCAAATGGATAGGACTGCGGAGATGGGTGCGTGAGTCACGTGGCGCACTCCATGGGGTATAAATTAAACGCGTAGCTGCGGAATTCCATCACCAAACCGTGGAATACCTGTGGCTAACATTCCCAATGAACCAAAAATGTATTTCTGAATTTACTGCATCCAAATTCTAGCATCGGGGTCACCAAACACTGAACAACAAACTATCTGCGGTATCTTTTGGAACACCTTTCCGTGCAGCCATAAAGTCTGACAAATTATGGCACACGGCGCCATATTCATTGCATATTTATATGGCCATAAAGTGGAAGAAAACAGGAGCATCACATGGCATGCCATTCCGAAACCATTCCAATCCCCAAGATCCCAACTAAATAAATTTCCAAATTGTTTATTTTTTTCCAAACAAATCAGCGAGCATTAAAACAGCGCGATGGAATCCAAATAAAACATTAACATCCGGTGGGAATTCGGTGCCCACGGCAGAGCATCGCACCCAGCAGACACCCACTGTACATCCCATTCCATCCCACAGTTTGTGTGTTTCACCTTTGAAGTGGGATTTACAGGTGTTTCGAGTGTTTCTGTTTCTGTTGCTGTCTGTCTGTGTGTATGTTTGTTTAAAAAGGTCATGGAGCCTGCTCTCGGGAAAAGTGTAACTAAATGAAAAGTTTCAGACCACGAAAACCAAAAGCCAAAGCCACAATAAACACCCCAGACAGACCTGCTACCGACTGGGAATACATCAGCGTAATAACTAATAAGAGAATAACTTTCAGGCAATTTTTGGGACGGGAGGCTCCTATCATAATGGGAACCACAAACCAACATTCCTCGGGCATTCGCTCGGGTAATCCACGTTCCACTTGCCTGTAAAATTTACATAAGTCCGAGGCACACACAAAACACAATTCCATGATAATTCCCCAATGATCGGAGTCTATTTATCAGCCTTTTTGCTCGGCAGTCGGTTGGGAGTGGGGCGGCACTTTCATAATGAAAGGAAAACATTGAAAACCCCGAGAAATGAAGACTAATGAATATTTTACGTGTTTCGGGAAAATCGGACGAGATGCAACAATCATCTAAATTTATTATTGGGGGGGGATCTAAGGGAAAACGTGTAGTACGTAAGTGTAAGTACTCTTCAAAAAGCAATTTCATTTATTTATAAAGCGATGATGACGTTGTTCGGTCTGAGGTCTGGAACTGAAATTATGCCAAAATCTAATAAGTGGGAGAACGGGAATGGGTGGCTGCTCCCTGCCGGCGGGTGGCTGAATAGGTGAGGTTGAATGCCAGCAGAGAGATGGAAAAGGAATTTCCTGCCGCTAAAACGTTTAATTTATTAATGAGATTTATTTATAGAGAGCTCTACGGAAGGGGCTGCGCCTGATAGGTGAGTGGTGAGTGGGCGGACTGGACCGGCAGGTGAAAGGTTGTGCCACAAAAGGATTGAATGGGGGCAACGCGTGGCTTACACAAGGAAAGTGCTTTTCCACTCTCTCATTCTCTGTCTCTGTCTGCTGTTTGTGGAAAATATATTCCCCTGCCAGCCCGCTCAGTGGGTGACGTGTGGGTTATTGTAATTAATGTTATGTGCGTTGAATGTATGTTTTCCCACTTTTATACACTTCTCCCGCTCTCTGTGCTGCTCCACCCCCTGCTCCTCTTTTACCACCCAAACGCCTGTTTCTTGGTGCTTTTTTTTTAATGGCGCCTTGGCCTGTTGTGGGTGCGGCCCACAAAAATAATTTACAATGTGTTGTTTTTGGCGGGGGTGGTAGTGGTGTGATAGGTACAGGGAAGTAAGGCAATTGAAGGCGGCAAGGCGGCAACAAATGTACAGCAAGATAATGACAGAATTATGGGAGAACATCAAGCATACGGCACACCGAAAACAAAAAAAGAGAAGATACTTGTACTACGGAGTGTATACACTTGTACAGTGAGAGCTCTCTCAAGCGGACACTTCGTGCCGTCGCTTCGTGCCACTTGCCACTTGCAGTGTTCTGAAAGAGGCGCCCAAGTACGCTCCTCAGGGGTGGAATGGAGCTGGTGCTTGTAAATTATATGGCATGGGGATGCAAGGGATATTCCGAATTTTTTTTTTAAGATTATTGCAATTCGAGAAAATTACTTGAATCCAGTCCCACTGTAAGACACTTCCCGTGAGAGAGAGAGAGAGAGCAAGCTAAAGGGAGCGCGAAAGCCTTTTCGTGGGAGCATCACACCCTGGCTCCATTCCACTATCTCCCTCTGACCTTCGCCTTAGTAAGAGTAAGCGTAAGCGTAAGCGGCCCCCTTGCATGGGCAATGCCTTGGCCTCCATGGCGATAAGGCGCTATGCCTGCTCCGCTTAGTAGCACTGATTAGCCATGAGATCACTTTGACCGATCGATTAGAGGCACACAGCCCAACCAACCACCCACAGCGGTCCCCCCGCGGAGTCAGAAGCGTGCTGATTACGGCATTTCAAAGCTCTGCTTGAAAGAGAGGGAGGGAGAGATAAAGTGATCTCAGCTGATCATCTGATGAAGAGAGAGAGAGAGAGTGGAAGAACGAGAGAGAACGTGACTGGCTCTCCTTGTTGCGTTTATTTCTACGTTATTCAATCATTTGTTTGCGTTCTAAACATTTTGATTCATTTGCCTACGCGCACGCACACACAGGTAGAGACATGTCTGACACACACACGCACAGGCCGAAGCACAAGCACAAGCACCACACGCATTATTATTTGCTTATTTGTCACGTTAATAAATAAAAATACAATTAATTGCCTTTGCAAATGATAGAAGGAGAGAGAGTGATGGAGAGGGGGGAAGCTTAAATGAAGCTGAAGCTGAAACTTTACTGCTGCCAATCCTCCCCCTGGGAAGAGAGGAAGGTTCGCGGCCCGGCACTTTGAAATAATAGGTGAGAGACAAGGAATATTAGAGTGAGGGTGAAGCTCTTGAAAGTTGGTTTAAGTTCGAAAAGACCAGACCAGAGCACCGTGGGAGCTGTTCCTGAATACAAATTTTAATTTCACTTTATACTCCCATCAATTCCCAATTAAAATAAATCTTTCCTGACTCACCTCACTTCCAATATACTCTTCACCGAGTAAGAGAGCGAGAGAGAGAGAGTGGTGCTTTATAATAATATACAAAAAATTGCCACACACAAACATTTGTTGTTTCTGTTATTGCTTTTTGTTGCAATTGATTTTACTGTTGCTTTGAGATTTGTGCGGGAATTCTTGTTTGCGTTTTGTTTGTTTCTTCGCGGCGGCCCGGCCACAGCATCTGCTGCAAAGTCAAAACGCAAACACACACAAACACAAGAAAGGCAAGCGCTATGAGATTTGCATGCTTTTTCTGTTTTTTCTTCAACACGCGGCGGTACGACACTTTTCCAACGGCATTCCTATTGTTTATTCAACAATTTGTGCACTCACGAATCTTATGGGGCTCGAAAAACTTTACGAATGTGTTAACAATTTGCAAAATAACTAAAAAAAACCAGCGCACGGTTGAGACCAGAGACGCGGAACGACGTCCGCATAGCGCGAGAAATGTTTGCCGTTTGTTTTGGATAGCCAAGAGAGCTTCTAGAGAGCTGATGGTTGTTGTTGTCGCGGGCCCCCACTTTCTGCCCAGTGTGACCGCGGAGGTATCGCCAATATATACAATCCCGATCCATGAAATAGGCTGTTTTTTATTCTAATTTAGAATTTGTTTATGATTTATGTTATTTTTTTTTTAAATCCTCTTCTATGCAATGAATTTTCCAGCGGCAGATTGCCAAGAAAAACAACATTTGTAAATGCTTAAATATAAATAGTTCACGTCAGGAAAGAGTCCTTTTAAAAGCTCTTCCTTTTAACCTGTTGTCCATACCTTGCTAAAGGCAGTTGATAGAGAGCTTTACGCTCTCCCGACTCATTCTTGCGTTCCAACTATGAGTACAGAAATACCCTCAAAAATATACCTTCTCATTTTCTAAATATACCGTAATTATGCGGAAGAAATCGTATTCCTTAATTTTGATATTCTACTTAAGAGTACTGGCAAGCAGACTTGCTCAGCTCTGAAACTATAATTTAAGCCGATTTATCAATCAATTTTCTGTGGGCTGAGAGTCTTGCTTGCTGGTAATATTAAAAGGAAAATGCAATATCGAGGAATTTATAAATCTCTAAGTCTTTTCTTTTGAGTGTACTCATCGACCGCATGGTGTGTGCAAAAAGGTATGAACTGCACACAAAACGCGAAGCCACATACAAATACCGTGCCTGCATTCCTTACCCCGTTCTGCTCGCATACCTTGCAGAGAGATCTGCGTTGTGTTTTATGGTACTTTATAGCAGCAATTAAAATTCATATTATAATTCACTATTCGATTTGATTTCCTTTTTAAATCTCAGAAAATTCTCCTCGTAGTAATATTAAATAGAATAACATTTTCAACAATTCTACTATTTTCGAGCCAAGTACCTATTGTTATATATTTGAAAATTCCAACATATTCAATTATTCAAGTCCAATTTAAAAATTGAATTATATTTTCCAAAATTGAACTATTTTCACCCATTAAAAAAATAAGCCCATGTATGTTGTTTATATATATATTCCATATATTTTGCATATATATTTGTTGGTTGTTTTTATATACTTTACACAATAAAAATGATAATGGATCCTCAACAAAAACAATTATTCGCATAAGTCGAACTTAAAATTTAGAAGATTTCAAAGACAAATATTGTTTGTGTGTATCTTTCTTTTGTTTGTTCTCTACTTTTGAATCATTTGATTTTGATTTCTGATTTATATATTATGGGAATCGATCGCATCTACGCATGCGTACTTATTGGTTATCGGTATTGGTATTGGTATCGGTATCGGTAGTATCGTTAATCGATTAGAAAATACAGTAGTCATAGTTAATTTCGATAGAACTATTTGCTCCGCCTTCTCTCTATAAAGTATATGTACATTTGAATGCATGATTAATTCTCTTGAGTCATCGATCACTTATCGATCATTCATGGGGGCGATTGGTTGCGTTTCAACTTAAATAATTAAACATAGATTAAGGTAAAAGTATTTAAAGCAACTTAAACTTATGGTTAAGAGTGTTCGGTTTCCTCTGTGTGTGTTTTGTTTGTTTTCTTTTATCTTTGTTTATCGATTGCAGTTTTAAAATTATCGAGCATCGAGCGCTAAAAATCATATCTACTCTTCGATATATATCTTCGAATGGGAATATGGGATTATTGGGTGGGTTTGGGGGTGTGGTTCTACGCGAATGTGTGATAACGAGAGTCACAGTAACAGTCACAGAGTCACAGTGAAACATGTGATTCCGGTATTCGAGTGCGACTAACGAGAACGGAACGAACCGCTTTATGGTTTTGTAAACCTCAAAACATTGCTACGTGTGTGTGTGATTATCATGTGTTGGTTATCGATATCGATTTATCGTTGTGATGCTTCGTGATTGATCGCTTTCTACTTTGCTTTTGGGGACTCGTTTAGGGTTTGGTTTTGTTTTTGCGTTAATCCATGCGGTAAATATGCTTAAAGACTTATATTATATATTTGGTGTACTTTTTTGAGTTTTGTGTTCTGTTTTTTGCTTTTTTTCGTTCTTTTGCTGGTATTTTCGCTTGTTGTTTTCTTGTAGTTTAGTTTGTAACTGTTAAACATATATAATAATATTATATATATTCTAACGATTTGAATAACTCTTGTCCATGCTTGTCCTGCAGCGATCTCTTCATACTTCCTCCTTCCTCCTTCCTCCTCCGATCTAAACTAAATATAATACAGTTTATCTTTTCATTCGTTCTACGTGTGTGTGTGGGGGGGCATCTACGTCTACGTCTACGTCTACAATGCATTTAACGACTCCTACAAAACGATTTTCCTTCTCTCCAAAGTGTTATACACGGCACAGTGGTTACTCCTTTCTCCTACTTTAACTCCACTCTCTCTCTGCTCTCTCCCTCTGTCACGTTTAACGCTTTAGATGGGCGATATGGAGAGCGGTGCAGCGGCTGTGTCCGGCATGTATTCCTTGACCAAATCACGCAGCCGCAGAATCTCCCGTCCAGCTGCCGCTAGATCGCCCTGCAGCGAAAGTTCCCTCTCCCGGAGTCGCTTAATGTCGCGCTGACAGGTCTGCAAATGGCAAAAGGAAATAAACCGATGAGTACAGGGAAAATCTTTCACTCTCTTCGTGTTTTTACTTACCACATTCTGACGCAGTAGATCCAATTTATCGCACTTGAGTCGCGTCACCTCCTGCCGCAGATTCTCAATCTTGACAATCGTCTCATTGCTCGGCGAGCTGCCCATCATGGTGGCCTGCACCCCGTCAAGGCACAGCGAACAGGCCTTGGTGGTGGCCTCCGCGGAGCTCATGCTCTCCAGCCCAGTGTCGCTGTCAATGTACGTGGCACCGCCATCGGCATGTCCCATCATCGGATCCAAATCCACGCTATTCAAACTGGAATCATCGCTCGTCTCGGACATGGTGGCCACGGCCACGCCACCATTCTGTGCGGCACTCACAGCAGCAGCTGCCACACCACCCACACCAGAACCATTTTGGATGTGCAAACCGCCGCCATTGGAGCTGCCATTGTTGTTGTTATTGATGGTGGCCTGTCGCGAGGTAATATCCGGCGACGAGGAGGTGGATTCATTTGAGGATTTTGATTTCGAGGAAGATTTCGAGGCGGTGCGACTGCAGCTCTAAGGGGAAAGAGAAAACAAAATCAATTAGAGGATCGCTTGGTGTGGGATTCATGCTGCAAACTTACATTCAAATTGGGTGTCTGCATCTCTGGCTGTGACTCCTTCTTGGCATTCAGTGTGCCCAGCTTTGTGTTCACACTGAACTTGTCCTGCCCGTTGCCCGTGTCCACGCTCTGGGAGCGCACGCGCATGATCAGCGCCTTCTTGACGGTGTCGATGAAGCGTGTGCCTGCATTGCCACCGCCACTGCCACTCTCCGGCTTGGGTGTCTCGGGCGTGGGGCTGCCAGCGGTTGCCTGCGAGAGATCTGCGCCGAGAAAGTCCCGCGTCTTCTCGCGCAACTCCTCGACGAGATTCTGCAGCAGCGAAGTGCGCGTGCGCAGCTCGAGCTTGGCAAACTTCTCCGCCTTGTAGCAGGCATTCTCCGCATTGATCAGCTTCGTGAGGATAAACTCCTTGAACTCCTGACCCTTGCGAAAGACAGCGGGATTGGGTAGTGTGGGTCCAAAGAAGGGCACATCATCGCGTGCCGTGACGCTGACCTTGTAGCGGGTGTGCGGTGTGTTCGGCTCCAGCGGCTGCACCACAATGAACGCGTGCAGAAAGTGACTCGCGATCATGTCCGGGGAGAAGGGTGTGTTCGTCTCCTGGAACACAATGGCCACAATGTCGTTGCCAATGTGCCGCTTGCGCTGCAACTGCTGCGGATCACCCTCCGTGTGGGGCAGCAGCGTGGACACATGGAACATGACCTCACGCTCCTTGAACACCTCATAGACGGCCGTGTCCCCGGTGTGTCCATTCTGTATATCCAATCCACCACGATAGCCCTTGTGGTCCTTCAAGCGTATGCGCTGTCCCAGCACATCCAAGAACTCATCGAAGGCCGGCGATGTCTGCTGATTGCCGAACAGCTCCTCCTCGGTCGTCTGGCCGTATCTTTGGTACAAAACTCCAAACTTGAAGTGCGACACGAGCACATGCTCATCGTAGACGCTGATCAGATTGGAGGCCTTGGGGCACAGCACCGGCATAAAGTTATCCACTTGAATTTGCTCGTTCAGCAGCCGCACCATCTTGGCGGGACTGGGCTGGGCGCCCAAACAGGACACCGGAATGAGCTCGTGCATGGTGCCAGTGCGCAGGCGCAGCAGGATTCGCATGTGCTCCTGGTTGGCCACATTCTCCGTCTTGATGGAGATGAGCACGGGTCCAAGCTGCTCGTCCTGCCCCACCAGATTCGAGTGCTCGCGCGCCGCATAGAACCGCCTGTAACACTTGGCCGTGTCATCCGTCTCGAACTTGGCCATCCAAGTGGTCTGCGGCAGCAGCGGGTTGCCCCTTGCATCGTAGCTGCACTCGTGCTCGGTGCCGTCCAGCCAGTAGCCGCCGTGCAGCGGCAGCATGATCATCGGATAGGGCGCCGCCTTGGCCAGCGCATCCTCCAGCAGTCGCTGTGAGGCGGGTATGGCCGACACAATCGACGAATTCGAGCTCACCGATGACTGTGACTGGTAGTGGTGTCCATTGGACAGCAGCTGACCCCCGGAGGCACTCACCACTCCACTGAGCTGCGGCGAGGCGGGTGTCGAGCTGCAGGCCGATCCAGACACAGAGGTGCTCGAGTGGTTCATCGAATGTCGCAGTGTGGCACGCGAACCAGAGTGCTGCAAGCCACCGCCGCCGCCGTTATGTGCCACGTTGTGACTGTCGTGTGGGGAATGCGGCTGTGGTACACGCTCCTCGCTGGTGGCATTGCTGCCGCGATGATGGTTCTGAAAGAGCGAAAGAAGACCGCAGGTTAGATTGGTTGTCATTTGG